TCTGGCGACGGACGTGGGCGGCGGCGGCGGAATGGTCGAGACGGCGACGGCGGCGACGGTGGCCAAGGCGTGCACGATTATGGTCTACGCGCTCGCGGGCACTCCCGAGTTCGTGGACGTCACGTACGAGCTCGCGCTCGGTAACGTGAACATTCACGTGCTGACGACGTTAGCCGTGTTCGGCACGGTGCTCTTGGGGTGCGCGATGGAGGGGGCTTTGCTCTTGGTACTCTTCGCCCTGGCGCACATGGTGGAGGATCGTTTGACGTTGCACGCGCGAGGAGACTTAAAGGCGCTGTGGAGCACCGTCCCCACGACCGCGAACGTGGTGAAGCTGAACGCGGACGGGACGCCAGATTTGGCCTCGGTTACAGAAGTTCCAGCCGCTGAAGTCGACGTCGGGTCACTCATATTCGTCAAGGCTGGACAGCAGGTGCCTTTGGACGGAACGGTCGTGCACGGTAGCGCGTTGGTGAGCATTCAACACATCACCGGTGAGGCTCTACCAACGATGAAGAGATATGGGGATGAAATCCCCGCGGGGGCGATGAACACGGATGGCGTGCTGGTGGTGAAGAGTCTGCGCTCGAGCGAGGAAAGCACGCCGGCTCGCATCGCGCGTCTCACGGAGGCTGCGCAGAGGCGCCGTCCAAAGGTATCACGTTTGCTTGATGACATCGGTGACCGCTATAGCAAGGCGATCCTAGCGACCACCTTCATCACCATGGCTTTGGCACCACTGGTGCTCGGCATTCCGTTTTTGGGACAAGGTGGGGCGATGTATCGAAGCTTCGCTTTCCTGTCCGCCGCGGCGCCGTGCGCGCTGTTGATGTCACCGCTCGTGTACGTGGCCGCCATCGGCGCGATGGCTCGCCGAGGTGTGCTAATTCGAGGAGGCTTGACCCTCGATGCCCTGGCGGAAGTCGGCGCGGTGGCGCTCGATAAAACGGGTACAATCACCACTGGGCAGATGACGTGCACGCGAGTCACTCGCTTTGAGAATGGTGCGCAGCATCAAACCTCTCCGAGCGCCGCGTCAAAGGCGCTCGCATACGCGGTGACCCTCGAAGGTGGGTCATCCCATCCGATTGCCAGGGCGGTGACACAAGCCGCGCAGGGCGTTGTGTTGCCAGACGTTGGTGCGGTGAGTAGCTATAAGGTTGTTGCGGGCAGCGGCGTCGAAGGCACGATTGAGGGCAAGCGTGCCCGGTTCGGAAGCTCCGCTTTTGCGTTGGAGTTGTGCGAAGAAGGCGCCGATGAGTGTTTGGCTGAGGTCATTGCGCAAGAGGGTGAGATTCTTTCAGTGCTTGCGGTGGAGGGCGAAGGTCCGGCGTTGTTCACGTTCAGCGATACGCTCAACTCGCAAGCTCCCGCGGCTGTAGAATCGCTCCGAAACGGTAAGTGTCGTAGAGCGTGGTGGCAACCTCCCGATGAGAGTCACGGGATGGAGGTAATCATGCTCACCGGGGACAACCAGACGAGCGCAGAGACCATGGCTGAGGCGATCAACTTGAAGCAAGAGAATGTGTACGCTGGCTTGACGCCGTCGCAAAAGTTAGGCCTGGTCGAAACCTTGAGAGAACGTGTGAATTCAAGGAAGTACTCGCGCGTCGCCATGGTCGGGGATGGGATCAACGACGCTCCCGCTCTTGCATCCGCGGATGTTGGTGTTGCGATTGCGTCGACGCCAAGCGACGCCGCGGCGAGTGTGGCGGATGTTCTCCTGGTCACCAAGGATACCAGCGGTGGTATCGCGCAATTACCTGAGTTATTCCGAATCGCACAGAGCACCCGCGCTGTGTTGCGTCAAAACATTGCTCTCGCAGTGGTGTCGATAGTGGGATCAGCAATTCCAGCACTCATCGGAGCGTTTCCGCTTTGGCTGGCAGTTATCCTGCACGAAGGTGCAACCGTCATGGTGGCGTTGAATTCTGTTCGTTTGCTCGTTACATTCGGTCGTCAGCCGCTCTCAAAGAGTACGACGCTCGTACTCACGGCTTTCACGGTGTTTTGCTGCCTGGGAGCAGCGTACACGTTGTGCTCCGAGGCGATCGCCATTTGGTTCAGCACCGTGCACGTCACGCACTGGATAGGCGTGAGCATGGCGTTCAAATCCGCGTGGGCTGGTCTTTTGGCTGGTTGCTTGCACACGTTGACCGGACCGGACCACTTGGCGGCGCTGACGCCGCTTACCGTCGGGCCAAGCCGGGCGCAAAACGCGCTCATGGGCGCTCTCTGGGGATTTGGACATAACACAGGTCAAATTTTGTTTGGCTGTATCTTCATCCTCTTGAGAGATAAGCTACCGCTTAATATGGACTTGATTGGACAGTGGGGGCAAGGTATCGTAGGTTTGACGCTCGTCATCATCGGTGCTATGGGCTTCTGGGAGAGTGTGGGAGGACACTCCCACTCCCACTCCCACTCCCACTCGCACGATGGACACTCCCACTCGCACGGTGACGCGAGCGTGCCGATGAAGCGAGACACCAACTTCATCTCGTGGACCTACATCACCGGTACTATTCACGGGTTACAGCCGGACTCATTATTCCTGCTTTTACCGGCCATGACGCTGCCGCGCGTCGAGGCCATTTCCTTCTTAGCGACGTTCTTCATCGGGACCATCTTCGCCATGGGGACGTACACGTACTGCATCGGTGCTGGGACCGCTGCACTCGAGAAAAATAATCCAAAATTCGTGAGCTATATTGCTCGCGGCTCGAGCGCCGTCGCTCTCGGCTTCGGTGTGTTATTCATTATTAGTGCAGTCTTTGGTCTGGAGTTGGTCTGATTTGACACTCTCAGCGTTTAGCTTAGATTTGTGATCACATTAGTGCATTGCGCAACGATTATGGAATTGACTAGGTTCATTATAACATTCTCGGTTAGACGCGCTTCGGCTTGTACGGTGCGAACAACACGGCAGAGTTGTGTCCTCCGAAACCGAAAGAGTTCGAAAGAGCAACCTTGACGTCGAGCTTCTCACGAGTCGAACCGACCAACATGGACGTATCAACGCCCTCATCCGGGGTTTCAAGGTTAATATTCGGGTGAACCTCGCCGGACATGATGGCTTTGATGCAGACGACGGCCTCTACGGCGGATGCCGCGCCAAGCAAGTGCCCGATCAAGCTCTTCGTGCTATTGATCTTGGCGCCCGAAGCCTTGAACTTCTTTTGCAAAACACGAAGCTCCGCCAAGTCGCCTGCGGGAGTGGATGTGGCGTGTGCGTTGATGTAGTTGACGTCATCAGCCTTGACGTTGGCCAGTTCAAGAGCCTTGTCTATCGCCATGTTAACACCCACACCGTCGGGGCGCGGCTCGGTCATGTGGTGTGCGTCGCATGTCGCAAACCCCCCCAAAACCTCAGCTAAGATCGGCGCACCGCGCGCCAGAGCACTCTCTAAAGATTCAAGAACGAGCACACCCGCGCCTTCTCCCATGACAAATCCGTCTCGGTTCGCATCCCACGGTCGAGACGCCGCCGCTGGGGCGTCGTTGCGTGTGCTCAGCGCCTTGGCGGCGGAGAACCCAGCCATACCAATGGGGATAACCGCCGCGTCGCTCGCGCCAGCGAGCATGAGATTCGCCTCCCCGTTCTGAATGTGCATGACGCTATTCAAGATACAGAAGTTCCCAGTCGCGCACGCGGAAGCGATGGAGTAGTTTGGCCCCATGAAACCGACGTCCATAGCTGTCAAAGCGCTCCCCATGTTCGTGATAGCGAAAGGAATGCAAAACGGATTCATCTTTCTGTGTCCTACCGTAACCAAGTTCTCCGTCGCCGTCGCAAACGTCTGCATACCACCCATCGCGCTTCCGATCAGACACCCGCTCAACGACTTATCGATGTAGTGCTCTCCTGCTTCGTCGTTCCAGTTCACCCGCGCGTTCTCCAGCGCCCGCTTCGCGGCGACAATCATGTACGCAATGTAAGGATCCACCCTTCTCGCTTGCTTCTTATTCATGTACTCTCCGCACTGAAAGTCCTTTATCTCTCCCGCGAACTTCGTCCCGATCTCGCCCGTGTCCCATTTTTCAATCGACGTGATGGCGCTCTCGCCTCGCAGGAGCTTTTCGTACATCGCGTCCACGTCGTCCCCGTGCGCGGTGACGGCGCCCATGCCCGTGATGACCACGCGCTTCTTCCCTCGATGGTTCAACAGGTCGACGTCTCCGCTCGCGTTCGCGACGACGACGCGCGCGCGCGAGCGTCGCGCGAGCGTCGCGGAGCGACCGCCGCGCGATCGTTCGCTCGACCCATTCGACGCCACGCGCTCGCCGCGACGCCCGGCGCGCGAGGCCACGGGCGCGCCGCGAGCGACGGGCGCGGACGCGCGCGCGAGGAGCGGCATCGCGCTCGACGCTCGGTGCGGGCGCGTGTGCGGGCGCGCGCGCGCTCGGGGGCTCGTTATCCGTACGCGAGATTCGCATTTATTGAATCGTGACTCGTGAAGCGGGACTCGGCGAGCTCAGGGTTTTAACGTTGGATCGCGCGAGCCGACGAAACGCGCGAACGTTACAACGAGTCGCTAGTGGTCGGCGTCGGAATCAGAATCGACGTCACCGTATTGCCACATCCCTTCGCGGGCACGCCTGGCGGATTCCTGGGCGTCGCGCATGGCGTCGAGCTCGGCGCGGTCGCGCACGCGGGGTCGGCGGTCAACGCGCGCCAAGCCAGAGCGGAGAAGGTCGCACGCGACCGATTCCTCGGGCGCGGCAACGGCGGAAGGGAACAAGGCGAGCGTGAAAGCCGGTGCGGCGTCGGATTCCCACGGCTTGGACGTGGGGAATCGATCACGGGCGTCGATGCGGGCGTGGAACAGGCGACCAGAGAGAAGCTCGCCGACGCGAGACGCCGCCGCGTAACCGTAGTCCGAATCAATGCGTGGAATCTTCACGGAAGACAGCGCGCAGAAGTTAGCCATCGGCGGGAGTGCGTTGAGCGTCAAGCCCGCGTCCTTGAGTGGTCTCAGTCGCTTGAAGGGAAGCTCCTCGGTGTTGCCGTAATCGCAGTAGAACACGCGCACCGGTTTATCGCCGATGCGTTTGGACGCCACGATCGCTCTCGACCACTTGTCGTCGCCGGTGAACTTCGCGGCGACGGCATCACCAACTTTCGGCTCAAAGACCCCATCGAAAGCCTTGCTCGTGTCCACGTCTCCGTACAAATCGGCGAGTTTGCTCGTCACCTCTTCGATCTTGCACCCGTCCAGCTTTTGCACAAAGAATCGACCGCCGGCTACACATTCGGTGACGTCGACGCGAACAAGCTCTCCAGTCGGTTCATCCTCTCTGGTTTCTTCCACTTGGACCGGAGGTGTCCAATCTTTCCACAGGCCCGCCTTGACTTCTTTCGCTGCCGCTTCGATTTCCGCCAACGCTCGACCACCTTGCACGCGTTCGACCGGAAACGCCGGATGCAAACTACCCAAACCGGCTCGAAGAAGTTCCTCGCCGAGATTGAGGCGTCCTTCATTGGCGAACAAGGTCCCGAGGAAAATGCCCGTCTTGTCCACGGAATCTACCACGATCTCTACTGTTCTCTGAAGGATCCGAGTGCGTGTAAACTCGAGGGCTTGGGCCGCATACGGCTCATCTCGCCGAGGGCAGCGAACGCCCGCGAGGCAGAAAGAGATCACCGCACCTTCTTTAGGAATGGATACTCGAACCTTGTGCCCAGCAGCGACAAAGTCTACGATCGCTGAACATTTCCCAGCACGCTGCAAAAACGGCAAGAAAGTTTTCGCCTTTTGGCTCGACACGCTGAAATCATTCATCCTGTGCACAGCCGGTTCCTTGTTCTTGTTGTGCATGCCCTTCTTGTTCTCAATGCCTCGTTTTGCCGCCGCGACGAGCCCGTCGTAATCGGCTGCGCGCTCTTCTTCGGAGCGGTGGTGAATGCACGATGCAAGACCGCGTATGAGGAGCATCTCAGCGACGTTCTGGGCCTCATCGCTAGTTCCAGGGAGTTTCACCGTGGCAAAGTGCAGCGTCCTCTCGTTCGTGCCTTCGCCAATCTTTCGCACATAGTCCATGCTCACAGATACTGTTCGACCGACTAATCTTGAGATCAAGAACTCCTTTGCCTCCACCGCCCACGGTTCGTGCATGGCCTTTTCATCGCGAGGGTTTGCCAGTCTCGGTGCGCGAATTGAACTCAGGTTGATCCTTCTTTCCGACATGTCTGGACCCGACGTCGGCGCGACCGAGATGCAGTCGCCCGATATTATTTCTATTACGTGAGCTTCAAAGTTCGTCATCGTCACCGTGCGGATTGAAGGAACAGGTGGGACGTATCCGCGCCAAAGGCACAGTTGTTGATCCTTCGCAATTTTCTCTGCGGCGCGAAGCTTCCCTGCGCCGCCGATCAACGCCGCGGCGCTCGCTTCGTGGACTTGTGCGAGTCCCATACGACATAAACCCTCGGCTACGTTCACGAACGCGGTATCGTTGATATCCGCGGGCAAGATCGAACCAATAAAGTTGCCTCGCCTGTCTAAACCTTCCAAAATCACTCGCACGTCTCGATGAAGCAGAGCCATCTCCGTGAAGTGCCTCGCCTCGAGAGCGAACGGCTCCGGACCTTGCTCCGTCCCGTCCTCGTTCTTGGCCCCTTTCCTACCTATCGCGGGCACGGAGATCCCACCGATGGAGACCACGACACTCTGGTCGTGAATCGCTCCGTCACCCGTCAACGTAAGCTTAACTGTCCCGCCATTCAGGACGTGCTCCACAACCCCCGGCGTTGGTCGCATCTTCACCGCGCTCAGCACATCTTCCGCCTTCATTTCATGCGACACCTTAATCGCGTTCGCCTTCGCCAACACCGCTGGATCTTTACTCCACATCCCGACTTGTTCCGCTTGCGCCTGCCGCTCGAGCGCCTCCAGCTCCTCCGCGTTGCTCGCCCGCTCGCCACCCCCGACGCGAACCTTACACAATCCTCTCTTCACCTGCATTGCGCTCGCATTAACTCCCTTCTCGTCGAACACCACCCCGAACTCGCGATCGATCGAATCGATCTTATACTCGACGCGAAACGTCACCTTGCGTCCAATGAGCGCCGCGCGCAAGCTCTCTCTCGACGCTTTCGCAAACGCCTCGTCCCTCGACGACGCGTCGTTCCGTCTCGCCAGCCGCGGGGCGACGATAGAAGCCAGCGTGAGCGTCTTCTCCGGTCCGGGCGGGGCCTGCGCGGGCGTGAACGGGGCGCACACGTCAGTCTTTGTGCGTTGATGACGACGGTTCTCGAGACGCCATCGACGATCAACGCGTCGTCGCTCGCGATCGGACGCACTCCGAGAGCGGCGGGAGCGACGAGGGTAACTTGATCACCGCTGTGCACGGCCTTGACGATGGCGTGGAGCCAAGGGGAGGGGGACATCGTGAGAAACGGCGTCGCAATATGCGGAACTGCAGATCGCGCGGCGACGGGACACGAGCGCGCGCGACGGAGAGGAAAGAGACACGTGACGAGGGGTGATGAGCTCGGACGCATCGCTTCGACGTATCGTGATGAGATTAAAACATATGTGCTGGAACAGCGAGCGCGCGGTGGCTAGGTGCCGTTGAGACGATACTTTTCGTTGCGCTTGCGTCTTCGATCGAGCGCTTGCATCATTTTTGAGCGGAACTCGGCGTCGACGCGCATGTTTTCGAAGTCGGTCATGGTGAGATGGTTGAGCACGCGACGGGTGACACCGTACCAGGCGAATGCGCCGGCGAAGTGGCCCCAACCGTGGGTGTCTAGCCAGCGCAGGACGGACTTGTCTCCGGCGTACTCTACGTTGACGACTTTATTGAGCGCCACACGTCTCTGGTCCGCGAGCGGAGTCGCGCTCGCAGTCGCGTCCTCCGGTGGGGCATCCTCCGGAGCGTCTTCAACTTCCAACGCGGTCTCTACCTTATCCGTATTCGTCAGCGCGTCTTCCTCCCCACCCGTTTCCATCGCGTCTCGCATCCTCTTCTTCATCTTGAGCACCAATTTCGGACCCTCTCCGAGCTCCTCTAGCGACTGCGTCGACGCCTCGCGCTCGGCCTTCGCCTTAGCGCGCATGGCTTCTAATTCATCTAGCACGTCTTGCTCGGTGGGGATGTTCGCATCCACCGGCCAAGGCGCGTCGTATTCCTTCAATTCTTCTGGATCGTTTGCTTCCTCCTCGGCAGGTTCATCCTCTACGTCACTCTCTGGATCCGCCTCGTACGTGCCGTCGACAATCGCCTTGAGCAAGTCTTCTCTCGTGAAGATGGATCGCATGGGATCACTCTCGGGGAAAACTCGCGCGAGAACGGTCTGTATAACGTCTGCGGCTTTCTGCGACGCCCGCCGCACGCCCATCATGTAGCCCAATCGGTACGTCTCCTTTGCCTCGTGCGGTTCACCTGAGAGCTCGTAGAGCCCGCGCGCGGCCTCTCTACGATTCATCGCCTCGAGTACCTCTTCCATAGATATTGGCTGCCGCACGGACTCGTTTTCATGCCCGCCCTGGTACTCGAGCGCGAGCGCTCCCGGAACGGCGCTCGCCGCTCTCCTCGAGCTCGGCCGCGGGCGATACACCAACCCATCTTCATCCGCGTCCAAGCACTCACAGATTTCATTCGCGAGATTCAACACCTCCTCATCCCCATCATCGTAATCGATTTTACTGTACACGATCCCCTCCGGCGTGGTCTCTTGCATCACGACCATCCCTGAGTACCAATCGTCATCGCTCGGCCAGTACACGCGCACGCGGTTCCCCACCGAAAAATTGAACCCTCTCCCACCTCGATAACCCGTCGGCGCGCTCCGCGGAGCGACTCCGGTGCCTCGCCCACCTCCTCGACCTCGACCTCGACCTCGACCTCGACCTCGACCTCGACCTGGACCGGCTGCTGATCGAGGACGCGCCGGCGCCGACCCCGGTATCCTTCTTCGCGACGCCGCGCGCCGCAGTGGCACCCCTTTCGGCACCGTCGACGGATCCAGTGACGCGTCGAACGGCTTCACGTCCTCTGGATGCGCTTGCTCGTACTGCAGTAGATATTTTCTGTAGCAGTGGATCAAGTCGTGTCCCACCGAGGTACACCTGTGATCGGCCGTGTAGTTGGCCATGCCCTTGAAGATTTCCTTGCTCCACGACCACGGGTTCTTCTGCCCAGGCTTGATCCCGTCCTCCTTGTCCGGTGGAAAACCCCCGCGGGCGCACACATTATGGTACAATCCATACAAATCGAGCTTGAATCCGTTCACCGTTCGATGCGGGAAATCATCGATTTCTGCGTTCGCCAAAGCGCGCTCGTCAGTCGTCTCATCTCATCGCTCGGCGCGGCGCGCGGCGCAAAGTTACGCATCGCGCGCACCGACTCCCTCCGGAACCTCTCTCGCGAGCTCCGGGTCGTTCCGCGAAAATGTCATCTACGCGCGTGATTCGCCCATCGTCAGTCCTCACGCGTCTCCCGATTCGCCCTCGTTCCGCCGCCGACCCGCGCGTCCGCCGACGTCGCCGACCTCGCGCATTCCTCGCGTACTCTAATATCTCCAAAATCTCCCCGTCACGCCCGCGCTCGACCCCGAACGCACCAGATCGACGTAAAACTCCTCCTCCGACATCTCCTCGAGCGCTTTCCGCCCCCGATTCGTCCCATCGGTCGTCATCCTCAACGAATTCTTCTCCAGCGCAATATCGAGATCCCCTCCGTGTGTCACTCTAATACTTCCTTCAACGCGCCCCGCGCCGCCGCGACCCCCCCCCGCGCGGTCGCGGTCGCCGAATCAACGTCTTCGCCGTCGTTTCCGCCCGTCGCGCCCCCTCGACGCGCGCGCGCGATGGATTTCAGCCGTCCTCGTCGTCGCGGCCGTGGCCAAAAACCGCGCGCATCTCTCGATGCGTCAATACATACCCCATCTCTCCCTCACAATACCCATCACTACATCGTACACGAGGCGTTTTGACCTCCATCCCCGGTGACGGCGCGGGGCCCCGCATGGGGTCCTCGATCCCATATACACATGCTCCAATACGACACCTCGACCCATACTCGAGGACGATTTCGTCGGTGTGCGTCACGCGAGCATCCGATGGCGTCAGCGCACCAATCAAAACGCGCGACGTGACGACGCCCACGGCGCCCGCGTCGCGCGACGCGACGTCCCGGCGCGCGCGGCGTCGACGACGCCACCGCGCGCGGGATGGACCGCGGTGGCGACGGCGCGGACGCCGCGCGACGGGCGCGGCGTCTGGCGGCGAATCGCGCGGCGAGCGCGGCGAGTCGGAAACGGAAGCGCGAAGTGGAGCTGGAGACGCGTCGGCGTGTCGACGCGTTGGAGTCGCTCGTGCGCGCGATGGCGGCGGAGAACGCGACGCTCAGGGAGGCGTTGATGACGGTGGCGTGTGGAGGGGGGGTGGAAGGGGGGTGGGAGGCGAGAAAGGTACCGTTGCCGCGGGCGGCGCGGGACGCGCGGGCGCGGGCGAATGAAAACGCGTCGTCGCCCGCGTCGTCGTCGTTGACGGCGAGTTGGGAGGAGATCGGAGGAGACGTGGGGAGGTTGGCGTCGTCGGGCGAGGCGCGCTCGACGGACGCGTTCGCGGATGAATATACAGAATGTGCGCTTCGGACTAAGCGCTCGAAACTCGCGCGCGTCGCGAGGGCCGACGAAGATGCGAAGACGCTCGAATACGAGCGACGACGCGTCGGAGAGGGCCCGCTCGGAGCGACGCGCGTGGACGAGCCACGCGCCGAACGTGGACGCGCACGAATTCATATGCTGTTTGCGAACGCGCTCTCGAGGCGCTCGACGCCCTCGACGACGCCTCGGACGACGTCTCCGAAGATATCTCCGACGATCTCGACGCGTTTCTCGCGGATGCTAGCTTCGAAAACGTCTTTGACTTCCCGGATGCCGCCGACGCAGATTTTCAGGCGCTCATTTCGTGCGTCACGTAGTTGCCGTCGCGCCGCCAAGACGCGGTCTGTGTTTAAGAAACGTCCCTGATTATCTCGTTGCATTAAGAAAAGACTAACTCTTCTCCATCATATATCATTACTCGTATCTCATACCTCACGCTGCGCCGCTGCCGCTGCCGTCACCGCCGCCGCTGCTGCGACGCCCGCCGAGCGCGACGCCGAGCAACACACTCAGTTTGTCCTCCTCTACGGACGTCGAAGTCCTCAATCGACGATCGACTTGCGGTATCTCCAATCGCTCGTGTACAACGGGTTGTCGTTTGCGCACTTCTTCAGAATCCCTGAGTCGCTTGCGGTTGACTTGTGATGCCAAGGTGCCTCGTTTTGCGAGCGTTTCGCCCACGTCTCGCCACAGCGATACCGAATCCATCGCCGTCGTGGCCGGTCGTGGGTGCCTTCTTTCGAGCGCGCTCGCGAGCGTCGATCCCTTGGAGAGTCCAAAGTGCCGTATCTCCGAACGAGCGTCGACGTCTTCCAAAATTTTTCGAAACGGTTGACCCATCTCGAGCGGCGCCGGCGACAGCGTCGCCATCTTTCGTTCTTCCAATTTCTCATACTCATCGTACGTCTGATCCTTGATCTTACGCTCACGCTGAACGTAACGATGTTCACCGGTGCCTCCTTCGAGTTGAAACCACCTCGCGCGAGATTGCTGCGCGGTTCGACCCGGAACGCGTTGGCAAATTAACGACCATTTCGGTCCATACTCGTCGTAGAGCGCACGCAGGCACGCGTCTTCTGCGGCGTCCCAGGCCCCACGCGTGACGTCGGGATCGAGGTGCCGACGCCAGCGTCCCATGCACTGCTGATCAGTTCGCCCACCCATCTCACGCGCGATCGTTGCCCACTTCGAGCCGTACTGGAGTTGTAATTCGCGCAACTATCGATCGGTCAAATGATTTCATCAGTCTCCGCGATTCACGCGCGCTTCGCGCGCGCGTACTACCCTCGTCCAGTCTCCGCGTCCGATCCTACCCTCTCTCCGCGCGCGCACACACTTCGAAACGCGTTCTCGCATCGTTCGCGACATCTCGAACGCGTCGTCGTTCGCACCTTTTCATCTTCCTCCTCCGTCCACCGCTCTCGTCGAATGTTTGGGTTGACTCGATGTCGCCACCGCTGCGCGCACTGCTGTCCCGTCCTCGTCCCCATGTCCTTCGAGATATCGCTCCACTTATTCCCGTACTTTTTTTGGAGTCTCAGTAATTCGCCGTCCTCGGCATCGGTCCACGGGACGCTGTCGTGCGCGGCATCGCGAGGCATGGAGTTGTCGTTGAATTACCGAGAAAACGTCCGACGTTTCGTATCGCACGCGATGCCGACGTCGCGCGCGCGTCTTTCGAAGCGCGCGCGGACGCTCGTGGACAGCGTGTAATACGCGGGTGATTTCACGCGCGTCGACTGATGCCGTCGTGGCGGACAAAACGACGCGTCGACGTGTGAGGGCGAGCGGCGCGCGCGAAGTTGTTGACCGAAACGACGCGACGGGTGCGTAGTATGACAAAAGCGCCTAATGCGCGTTGAAGACGTCAAGGGCGTGAAGGAGTTCGCGTTTGAGGCTGCCGTCGGGAATGGCGTCGGCGAGCTTGCGAAGGGTCGGGGCGATGTCGAGGAGCGGGGTGACGTGATCGAGGCCGGCGTCGCCTACTCTCGAAGCACTCTGGGCGCGGTGAAGGAGCTCGGCGGCGATCCCGAGCGCCGGCTCTATCATCTCGGGCTCGATGAAGTCGTTTTTGTAGGTGTACTCGCATACCCGCGCCACTTTCGCGGGGGCGTCGTACTCCCACAATGACTCTGACTTCATCGACTTGCTCCGAGCGAGCGAGAGGCAGAGGTGGATGTTCGGCTCGTAGTTGGTGTGCTCAAGTGAGAGGAAATCAAAGAATCTCGGCGCGAGACCGATGTTGATTATCTCACGGCACAGAGCTGGTTCGAGCCTTGCGGTGCCGCTGAGCAGCTTGAGCGCGTACAGCGGGAACGGATGCTCCATGTCGATCAATGCCGAGCACATCGGGTACAGGTCCTGCATCAAGAGCTGGTCCAATCGATGCGCGATGATTCTTTCATCGCACCCACTCTGCGTGGCGATGTCCAAGTCCGCGCGCAGGGGCAGAATCAGCTCATAAACTAGCTTGAGCGCCGAAAAGCGCATCTCGGCGTTGGTGCTACCCTCGAGAAGATCGCACAGGGCGGGAAGCAGATGCTTCGTCACCGCATCGACCTTGTACACGATCTCATCTGTGCAGCTGTGGCAGTGCTCCAGTAGCTCCTTGACGCATACACGGAACTCTTCTCGACCGTTGTAGTCCTCTTCAAACTCAGCAGCTTCGATGTACCGAGCGATGTCTCGAACGAACGCGCTGTTGAGCATGCGCTGTCTCATCACTGAGGACTGCATCAAGTGGTGGATCACCGGGAACAGCGTGAACGGCTCTATCACTTGCGGACGCATGTTCCTCGACGCCGCCGAGCGCAAGCGAGCGATGTGTCGGAATATTATATCGTTCACCTTCGGTACGAGCGCCACCACCGTCACGATGAACGCATCACAGCAGTTCTGTAAATACGGATCATTGATCTGCTGACATTCGATCATCGGTAGCACGCGCGCTCGGCACAGCGACTGCAACCATTTCGGATGACCTCGTATCAGAAGCGCCAAGCTGAGCAATGATTTTGCTTTGATAACCGATGATTGACTACGCTCGTACAAACCGGCCAATATCGGAAGCAAGGTTCGCACTTCCATGAGCGTTGCGAGTAGACGCGATTTCTCATCAACGAGAGCCAGACACAGAAGGTTGAGCGCCGCTTGCTGCACCTTCTTCGAACGACGATCATCGAGCATCTTGATAAGCGCCGCACGCATTTCATCACTGTGGTCATCGTCACCAACAACGACATAAATAGACTCTGGCTTGACGCGCACGGCACTCGCTAGTGCGCTAGCCGCTGTGCCTCGAAGCTCGTCTTCTAAGCTGTCATCCATCACAATCGATACCAATATGTTCGCCGCTCGGCAAGTTGCAAACGCCTCCTGTATCGAGCCTGATCCTTTCTTCAGTATGTTTTCTACGCTCTTACACGCATAATGTCTCGTGATTTCATCAGAGTCATGCTCTATCGTCCTGAGGAAGACTTCGATAACATTTTGTGTGATGCCCAAAACTTGAGGTGCGTCCGCTCTCGCCTGATTCGACACGTAAAATGACAACTCTCCGAGCGCTGACATCGCTCGCCGTCTCACGCGCGGGTTTTCATCACTCACAGCTTCCGCGAGCACCTTTGCGGCATCTGTCTTCGCAAACTCAGACCCAATGAACGTGGCGTAACGCATCAGCAAGCCCAAGATGTTTGCCATCCGAATTCTCAGTGGCGAAGACTTGCTGCTCGCCAAAACCTTCACGAACATGGGCATCAGCGTCGAGTTAACGAGGACATTTGCGCTAGAATCAGACCTACACAACGTCTCAAAGTATGCCAAAGTATTCACCTTGTCCTGCACGTTTGCCGGATGTGCCACGGCGCGATAGATGCGAGACAAAAACGCCTCCCGCTCAACCTGCGACGTCGCCATCATTTCGTTGACGCTAAGCTCTTGGAACGGAAGTTTCGATGGATCATGTGAAGCGTCTCTTATGGCCTCAATTTTGTGATTCGAGACGATTGGACGCACGGTTAAATCGGAGTCCTCGTGCAAGCACAACTCCTTGAACTTTTCGTATTCTAACTCCTCCGCCGCCGCATCAACACGCGTCGCTTGAGCGCGACGTCTTCCTTCCGGCAAACCGAGAAACGCCGGTGTTTCCGCTGGTTGTAGCTCCTCGCTGCGCATGGAAGAAGACGTGTCCTCAAAGTCCTCATCCGCCGTCTGCGCAGATCGATTCGCAGATCGACTCGCGGACACTGGTGATCTGGAATCAACCAAAATTGCTTCTCCTGTCGTGAGCATGACCTTGGTCGTTTCATCGCTGCCTGACGGCGACGAGTTGTCCACTTCTACATCCTTTTCCATGAAGTCTTCAGTCGTGTCGGCGAAATTGTCCGATCTATTCTCATTTCCATAACTCTCTCGCATGGCTTGTCGCGGAGGCGATTTCGGAGCGACCGGTGCACGCTCGTCAACTTCTGCGTCCACGTCCAGGTCCTCCATGCCGTTCGGTACCGTGAAATTCAGCTCGGCATCCGGATGCTCTAATTCTACATCCTCGTGTCTGCCCGGCGGCTCGGCCAAATCGCCGTCTTCGGCGGCGGCGTTGTTCCCCGATCCGTATGATCCTACCTCTTCACGCTGCAAGTTGAAGCGAGCGATGCGAGAAAGCTTTGACGCGTTGACGCTCTGCCGTAAACTCGGCGTGAGCACCGGCATGAAAGACTCACGTACATCTAGAGATGTAGACTCGCGCGCGTTTCCTAGCATTCTGAATTTCATCGCAAGATCCTCTCTTTTGAGCATATCAGCAAAGGCCTCATACGTCGGCTGCGCTGGCAGCGTCACAGCGCCCAAATCTCGCATGTCCTCCAGATACTCTCCACCGCGCTCGCGCCAGAACTCGTGATTGACTACTTGATCCCACCTCAATCGCTGGTGTGGACGTTTATTTAACAACCCGAATACCAAACTCTTAAACGGCGTGCTGCAAGACGCCGGGAGCGGGTTCGGCTCGTGCTCCAAAATCTGCTCAATGAGCGACGTCAACGACGTGCTCGTGAACGGTGGTCGTCCGGCGGCGCACTCGTACAAGGTGCAACCCAAAGCCCACAGATCCGTCGCGTACGAGTGCACTCCCTCCGAAGTGAACATCTCAGGCGCCATATAACATGGTGTCCCTCGATGCGCCAGCTCCTTTGACGAGCCAGACTTGGCCGCAACGACGGTGACTTCCTTGCTAAGTCCGAACCCGCGTACTTTGAGGTTTCCATTTTCGTCCAGGAGCATGTTACTCGGCTTCAAATCGCAGTGAATCAACCCTTTACTATGGATTGTGCGCACACCAACAAACATGTCGCGAGCAAACTTCATGATCGATGGCTCTGGGAGCTTCAAATCTTGCGACAACAGAGTCAAAAGATCTCCCCCGACGCAATACTCCAACACTAACCACAAACTATTCCTCGTTTCGTAACAAGCGACGATTTTCAACACGTTTTCATGCATCACCGCGCGTGAGAAGAGGAAGTCACGCTTCACACGACTTCGCTGCCCCTTCTCCACCTTCTTTATCGCGTAGTACCGAATTGTCTTCCTCCGTCGAGCCTTGTACACCATGCTGTACTTACCCTTCCCGATCGCTTCGAGCGTGTGATAATCCTCAATCTTATAATCGCTCGGCATCGCGCACGTTACCGCTCACCAAACGCCCCCGCAGTGCGCTCGCACACCGTCAGCAAATCGTAATACCCCGACACCGCGCTCCGTAACGACCTCAACTCACTCGCCTCGAACCTACCCTCGACTTCCCACTCGCGCTCGCTCACTCTTCGATGCGTCACCGTCTTCGTGACGACGTCCGGCCGCAACTCCTTGTCCACGCCGAGCGCGCCCGCGATCGCCCTTGCCTCTCGTTCGCTCGCAAACGTCACCGTCACCGACCTAGAGACACTCGCAAACGTACCATCGTCAGTCCATCGTCCTCGAGAGCGCTCTGCGTCCCGTCACGCGCGTTCACGAAGACGATTCGTCCTCGACGCCGAAGATCTCGCTCGGTCCCCTCTCAACGCGCGATCCTCTCTTTGACGCGCTCCACGACGGCGCGCGTCCGTAAAAAACCGCGAGGGTCGAGAGATTTCGCACGCACGTCGCGAACGGTCGAGCGGTATCCAGCGGCATCCAGCGCGCCGGGCTGTGCGCGCGCGATGTCACGAAGACGACAGACGTGCGTCGTTTTTTGAATTTGTTTAGACTCGAAGAGCCACAATACGTCAAAGCACGCCGCGCGATCGAGATGATGACCGCGAGCGAGCCGTCGTGGCTCGAATCCCTCCTCGCGTGGTTCCGAAGGTTACTCTTCGGGGCGGAGATGGAGATGGTGGTGATCGGTGCGTCGTGGGCGCGAGGAGCGACGCGAAACGATCGACTCTTGGATTATTCGTGATGAATTCGAAAACGAGTGACTGACGAGGTGCGCGTCCGCGCGGCGACCTGTGAACAGGTTTACAGAACGCCGGGAAGACATCCTTTATAAATGCGCTCGGCGGTGGGGCGTTCGAGGAGGACATGATCCCGACGGTTGGCTTTAACATGCGAAAGCTCAGGTGCGGCGGCGTGAGCGTGAAGACGTGGGACGTCGGCGGACAGGAACGTTTTCGTGGGACGTGGGAGCGGTACTGTCGCGGTATGAACTGCGTGGTATTCATGGTCGACGCGGCGGCGCCAGAGACGTTCGAGACGGCGAGGAACGAGTTACATGGGTTGTTGAAGCGAGAGACGCTTCGCGGGATACCGCTGTTGGTGTTGGGGAATAAGAGCGATCTCGGGGGGGCGGTGAAGGTGCAGGAGGTGGTCGAGGCCATGGAGTTGAAGCGAGCGACAGGGCGGGAGGTGTGCTGCTACAATGTGAGCTGCAAGAATTCAACGAACATTGAGACTTGCTTGAAATGGTTGACACAGCACGCAAACTGAGACGACGATGCGCGCGCATGCGGGCGCGCGATGTACACGTAGCGAATATTAATTTCATCGGGATATTCTATGCATAACCACGTCTGATGTACTCCACCTCGACGCGGAACAGCGACCACTGGAAGCGTCGCGTGATCTCCGCCATGGTGACGAGCCATAGCACGCCGCTGTTGTGCCGCAGGTGCGACGCAAGCTTGTACGTCCAGACGATCCGCAAGACGAAATTCACGAATATCGCTCGGTAGTACACCCTAGGAGAACCATATATGCGATGCTCGCGCAGCCACAGCGGCGCGGACGTTTTCTCTCTGGCTCGTCGCGCTGGATCACCAAACATCGTCAGTGCCCAATCATGTTTGATGTCCCAGTAGAAGCTAAAAATAGTGTTCAAGACGCAGAAACCGATCCAGCGAGGGCGCCAGAAGTACACCCAATCGTCATGATCGATGGAGTGTCGAACACCTGAGATGATGATGACCGGAAACGCACTCATATACTTGCACGCGTTGTACAAGCATTTTTTGTCGCGCGTATCGGCGTATTGTCTAAGGCACTGCAGCAAGCGTATGACTGACGGAACGATCAGCACGGCTGGAATTGTCCAGCTCCTATCACCACACTTCCCGGCGCTTGTGTGAATCAGTATGATTCCTTGTCGCGCGCTGCAGAACACGCGCTCTATGTCGCTAAGAGATTTTGCCAGTGAGCAAAGAATGTCGGCAAAGAAGAAATCGGCAAAGGCGACTGGTCTCACGAGCGGGGTGAGGCAGTTGAATATCAGCCCGCGAAAGTACGCGCGTAGCTCACCGACACCCTTCGTCCTGGTGGGCCACATCGTGACCGTTATCGGGACAATGTACGTGACGAGTATCACTGCCGTCGCCGCGAACGGCTCGTCCACGTCGTACGTGTACAAAAACGCCAACATCGAGGCGAGCAACCCGACCGCGCTTGCGTGCGCGATTCTATACACGTTCTCGAACGTCACTGACTCGCTGTGCTCGACGCCGAAGCACACCAACGGCGACGGCGTCAAACGAAGACGCTGCCACACCCGCAGGTTGTGCCCCCACAGAAGCAGCGCCAACGTCACCACCGTTGGCGCCTGATAGTACACGTTCAGCATGTGCACCCTTCGCTCGTCGTTCAGCCCCCCGGCGAGGGCGATGACGAGCGTGATCCCGCACAGCCACGCCGCTGTAACGCCCAAGCCTCTCGGCCACCGCCGCTCCCGTCTCGCGATCCCACTCGCCTCCACCCCCGGTTCCGACGTACGCGCGATCACCGCGCGTTCCACCACCGTCGGCGATGCCTCCATGATCCGCGTCACCGAATCGCACGCGTTTCCTTAACCTTTGACGTCTCCGGTTCGCGCAGCGTCCCGCTCGAAAGATTCTCCGTGAATTCACCCACACCGCGCGATCTAATCCTTCTTCTTCAGCGCCTCTTCTCTGGCGTCTCGCATGGCTTTTCCGACCGCGGTCTCCCCTAACGTCTTCTCCGACGCCTTCGTCGCCGTCGACGCGCCGTCCTCGACCCACTTTCGGATCGTCTTCAGGTTGTGTCTCAACATTCTCGACGATTGCCGGACGTCCGTGCGCATTAACGACGCGATGGCGACCAAGCCGGCGGCGGTGACGATAAAGTTCGACCACGCCATCGGTTTCCGGTCGTTTCGTGCGCGCGTGCGGCGCTGAGCGTGGGGTGAGCGCGGTTTTTTAGATTCGCACGCGCGACGAACTGACGCTGGACTCCGCGACGCGCGCGCTTCGTGCCCGCGGTCAGGGCGAAGTCGTGAAGCGCGATGTCCTCGGCGTGGACGTCCGCGCTCAGGGCGAACGCGCGCGCGCAGCGCGGACGCGAGGCGAACACGATGACGCTGACGTCGACGTCTTCGCGGATTCGCGTCGTTCGTCACGCGTACGAGCGCACGGCGTCAACCTTGGGCGGCGACGACGCGTTCTCGAGTCGTACGCGAGACGTTTTCGACGCGCGAGAGGCGCTGCGTCGAGCGGATGAGGCGAGGGTGCTCGCGAGCGAGATCGCGGGCATCGCGGCGGGCGCGGGGACGCCTGGCGTCGCGCGCACGGTGAGCGCGTTGGAGTCTCTGACGCGATTGGCGGTGGATAGTGCGCGGAATTTCGATGCGAGTAAACCGCCGAGCGGGCCGGAGGTGATTCGAAGGACGTTCGAGGCGTTGGGGGCGACGTACGTGAAGCTCGGTCAGTTCATCGCGAGCGCCCCGAGCGTGTTCCCGAAGGAGTACGTGGACGAGTTTCAAAAGTGTCTCGACGCCACGGAGCCAACGGATTTCGAGACAGTGAAGCGAACGATCGAGCGAGATTTGGGGCGATCGATCGACGACGTATTCGCGACGATCGATCGCGAGCCGCTGGCGAGCGCGAGCGTTGCGCAGGTACATCGAGCGACGCTTCTGGGGAGCAACAAGGAGGTTGTGGTGAAGGTTTTGAAGCCCAACGTCGAAGACACGCTCAAGGCCGATCTCAGCTTCGTGCTCATCGTCAGCAAGGTGTTGCAGTTCTTGAATCCGGAGCTATCAAGGACGTCTTTGGTGGATATTGTCGGCGACATTCGAGAGTCCATGCTCGAGGAGACAGATTTTAGGAAGGAGGCGGCCAACGTGGCGGCGTTTCGCCGCTACCTCGAGGACGCCGGGCTAACGGATATCGCCAAGGCGCCGTACGTGTACGATCAATTTAGCAACAAGCGGGTGATGGTGATGGAGTACTTCTCCGGCGTCCCGCTCACCGATTTAGAAGCCATTCGCTCTGTGACTACGAGAGATCCGGAGCAAACTCTCGTGAACGCGCTGAACGTTTGGTTCGGCAGCGTACTCGCGGCCGAGAGCTTCCACGCTGACGTTCACGCCGGAAACTTGATCGTGTGCGAGGACGGTCGCGTCGGTTTCATCGATTTCGGCATCGTTGGCCGAATCTCGCCATCCATCTGGGGCGCGGTGCAGGCGTTCTTCCAGTCCACCGCCGCGCGTGATTACCGTCGCATGGCGCTCGCGCTCGTCACCATGGGCGCCACTGATGGTGACGTTGATATCGATAAATTCGCAGCCGATTTACGCCGAGTGTACAAGACTTTGGACTCGATCGAACCGTCCGTCATCGTCGAGCAAGACGACTACACCGGCGCCCAACGCGCCGCGGTCGCCGTCGATCAGCAGCAAGTCACCGAGCTCGCCGCCGATCTCATTCGCGCCGCCGAGGATAACAAGATTAAACTCCCGCGCGCGTTCGGCGTCCTCATCAAGCAGCTCATTTACTTTGATCGTTATGTCCAGCTCTTGGCGCCCGACTTGGAAGTCATCGACGACGACCGCGTCGCCTTCGTCGACGCCGTCGCGGTCGAAGTCAAGCCCAAGCGAATCGAATGAATTTAGTAATTTTACTGTTCTTTGCCCATTTTGCGCATCGAGCGAGCTCGCGCGCGCGCGATGCTGTCTGACGGCACGTTGCGACGCGACGCACCCGACGCTGCGCCCAATGCGCCATTCGTCGTCCACGCGACGATGGATCACCCGTCGCCCACGCACAGACCCGGACCGCCGAGCACCGAGGCTCGTGAGGTGGAGCTCGAGCGCGCGCGCGCGACGGAGCGCGCGTCATCGTCGGAACGAAGGATGTTCGAACTCGTCTGTGCGTACGCCGACGACGACGTCTTCGTGCTCGTGAAACCGACGAGGGCGTACGTGGACGACGTCATCGACGCCGTTCGCACCGACGGCGTCGTTCGCGTGATTCGCGACGCGCGCGAGGGCGGACGCGAGACGAAACTGTGCGGGGAAGAGGCGCGGTGCTGTCACCGATTGGACCGGGACACGTCGGGGGCGTTGATCTTCGCGAGGAACGGGAACGCGGTGAAGAGCCTGGCGGGGCAGTTCGCGCGCGGGACGGTGACGAAAAGGTACGTCGCGCTATGCGCGGTGGTGGACGACGCGGATGAAGGGACGTGGGGGAGTGGGGATCTTGTGAGAGTGGAAAGCGGGCACGGACGTGCGCGATACGGCTTGTATCGTTTGTACGACGTGAACGACGTTGATCGCGATTTACCGGGGAATAATCGCGTGAAGCGGTGTGTTACGACCATACGAGTCGAGCGCGTGGTCGAGGGTGTGGAGTTGGAGTACTGCGAACCGGAGCGGGACGGATCGAACGCGCGCCTGGCACTTGCTCGATGTTCGCCCATCACGGGACGCACGCACCAGATTCGTTTACACTGCGCCTCACTTGGACTCCCGCTCGCCGGTGACGTACGTTATGGTGGTCCAATTCGCGTGAAATCGTGCGCGAGCGCGAGTACGAGCGCGATCGGCGACTTACCGGGCGCGCTCTTACACGCCGAAGCGATTACTTTTCGGCACCCGAGAACCGGCGAAGATGTCACCGTCACCGTCGATCCCCCAGATTGGGCCCACATCGAATAGATCATTAGATTAGCCGTTAGATGAAATAGTCACCGCGCTCGGACCATCCTTACCGTCCCGTCGTCCGCGGCGTCCCGCTGCGCGTTCGTCGCCGCCTCAGACCGCGACTCTCGTCGCGATGGTCTCCGCCGTCCACGGCGTCATGCTCACCACCGACGTCCCGATCAAGCAGTACGTTCTCCACCTCGACGCCATCGCCCCCGCCGAGGGCAAGTTCGTCATCGCCGACCTGGACGAGCGCAGAGTGTTGATTCAACCGGAGCGCGCGGAGCAAGTCAAGCGAGAGATCGAGCGGTACCAACAGACGACGCAATACGTCGCGCCGAACGCGATGAGCAAGCAGTGAGTTCGATGTGCGCACTGTTTCTCAACGCGTGTCACCCCGTCGCGGATCGGTCGATCGATCGAGGGGACGTCGTCTCCGCGTCCCGCTCGCGCGAGGCCCCGTGCGCGACGTCAGCGAGTTGTAACATAGGACTAGCACCTCACACATCGACGCGCGTCGTGAGCGGTCGCACGCTCGTGAAAAAGTGCGTGTAACATCTATTCCACCGATCGACGCGTGATTTAACGCCGCGTGAACGATGTCGCACGAAGGGAAACCGATCACGTGTAAAGCCGCGGTGGCCTTTGCGCCCAAGCAACCGCTGGAGGTCGTCGACGTCGTCGTCGCTCCTCCCCAAGCGGGCGAGGTGAGGATCAAGATCATGTTCACCGCGCTGTGTCACACCGACGCGTACACCCTGGACGGTTTCGACAGCGAGGGGAAGTTCCCGTGCGTGCTCGGACACGAAGCCGCGGGCGTGGTTGAATCCGTCGGCTCCGGAGTGACGTCGTGCAAACCAGGCGATCGCGTGATCCCGTGTTACCAGGCGTACTGCGCCGACATCTCCGAGAACCCGTGCGAGCACTGTTTGCACCCGAAATCGAACCTGTGCCAGGCGGTTCGAGCGTGGACCGGTCGCGGGGTGATGAAGACGGATGAAAAGCCGAGGTTCACGCTCGCGCGCGACGGGAGCGAGATTTTTCACTTCATGGGAACGTCGACGTTTTCAGAGTACACGGTGGTGCACGAGGTGGCGGTGGCGAAGGTGAACAACGACGCGGCGCCGCTCGATAAGGTGTGCCTGCTCGGATGCGGTGTGTCCACTGGATGGGGCGCGGTGCACAATACGGCGGGCGTCGAAGCCGGGAGCACGGTGGCCGTCTTCGGTCTCGGCGCGGTTGGCTTAGCGTGCATCGAGGCGGCGGTCGAGGCCGGCGCGCGTCAAATTATCGGTGTGGACACGAACGACGAGAAGGAGGCGATCGCGCGCCAATTTGGGGCGACCGATTTTGTCAATCCGACCAAGTTTCCGGGCAAGGACACGCAGAGCGTCATCGTGGAGATGACCAACGGCGGCGTCGATTACTCCTTCGAGTGCGTCGGTAACGTCAACGTCATGCGAAGCGCGCTCGAGTGTTGCAGGAAGGGTTGGGGCACGTCCGTCATCGTCGGCGTCGCTGCTGCTGGCACGGAGATCTCGACGAGACCGTTCCAACTCGTCACCGGTCGCACCTGGAAGGGGACTGCTTTCGGAGGGTACAAGAGCCGCGTTGCGGTTCCGAAGCTCGTCGAAAAGGTCATGTCCGGCGGAGATAAGGCGAACCTAGACAAATACATCACGCATCGCATGAAGTTTGAGCAAATCAACGAGGCTTTCGACTTGCTGCACGCGGGCAAGTGTTTGCGTTGCGTGTTGTCCATGGACTGAAAACATTAAAAATCCAAATTAAAATATGCAATACAACCGTCACTTTTTAAGCGCACGAGCGTGAAACTCGATGTGATCGCGCATGAACGTGGAGACAAAGAAATACGAGTGATCGTACCCCTCGTGTAAGCGATACGTAACATCCAATCCCTTCGCCTTGGCGGCGTCGACGAAGCGCTCGGGATGGAGCTGCGTCTTGTAAAAATTATCCGACGCCCCTTGATCGATCAAAATCGGCGCCGAGAACCCCTCACACGACTTAACGAGCTCCGTCGCGTCGTGTAATTTCGCTTTATCCGACGACGCGCTCCCCAAGTACGCCCCTAGCGTCTTCTGTCCCCACGGACAATCCTCTGCTGTTGGATTCGCGATAGGAGCAAAGGCTGAAACCGAGGCGAACCGTCCCGGGTTCCTCAAAGCGATCGTAAGCGCCCCATGTCCACCCATGGAGTGCCCCGTGATCGAGCAAGCGTTTAAATTGAGCGGTAGCCCACACGCTTTCAGCGTTTCCGGGAGCTCATCGACGATGTAACTATACATTTGAAACCGCTCTGCCCAAACGCCTTCGGTGGCATCTACGTAGAACCCCGCGCCTTGGCCCATGTCGTACGCAGCGTCGTCCGGCGTCCCCTCCCCGCGCGGTGACGTGTCCGGGAACACCATCGCGACGCCGCGCTCGCGCAACGGACCGAACGCGCACCCTTTCTGCGCGCAGTTCTCATCGGTGCACGTGAGTCCACTGAGGTAATAGATGACTGGCAGTTGTTGATCGTCTGTGTCCGGGACGTACACGGAGAAAACCGTAGAGGATTTAAGGACACCGGAGTCGTGTTGGAACCTGTGGAGGACGCCGTCGAAGGCGCGGACCGTGGAGAGGGTTTTGGGTGGAGCGGGAGACATCGAGGCGGCGAGTGAAGTAAGCGAGCGTGCAGTTACAACAGATTAATCGGTTCGTGACAGACGGTTTTCCTCGGCGAGATCTTTCTGATAGCGCTCAGAGACGGTTTGTAGATCATGCGGCACAGTGTACGACGAGGCACCGATGAGAAGACCGCACGGGATCCAAAACAATACGGAAAGGAAGAAAGCCGACTCGCGACCAAGCATGTCAACAAGAAGGGCGACAATGAGTGGTCCCAAACCTTTTCCCAAGTCGTCGGTGAGCATGAAGAGGGAGAACGCCGTGCCTCGATTGATTGGATGCAAGACATTGAGCAATACTGCTCGAATGTTTACGCCGACGCAGCACACGATTATACCCGCGACGAAAGCGATGAGACCCTTTGTAGCAATGTCAAAGTCTGAGTTTCTGTAGTCAGCCAAGACCAGATATGCAGTCGGGAACACGCCGACGATCGCCGAGACGCCCATAAAGATTGAAACCTTTTGTGGCTCTTCGTTATACAATTTTTGGCCGTACCAACCGGCTCCGACAGTACCCACCATTCCTCCGACGCTAAACGTCACCAACAGCGCCGTGCTGTGCTTCACACCCAATCCCTTGTCTTGCGCGAGGTAGTCGTTAAAGAAGGTGTTAATCATGCTCCATGGAACGCATCCTGAGATACCTTGAGCTAAGAAGAGAGCGACGGTACGAACGGATACAATACCTCGCAACTTGTGAGTGAACCGCTTTGCCTGTTCGCCGAAATCCACGCGTGCGCTTGGTCGCTCAGCGATCGACGGCGTCGTCGGACGCGAGCGCACCAGGGACTCGTGGTGTTGACTGTGCTCTTCGTCTTCGATCGACTCCATAGCTCCACGCTTGGGTTCCTCCACAAAGAACATCAAAACTATTGCGACACACATCCCGGGTATCGCCACTACGACGAACGGGACGCGCCACCCATACTTCTCACCCAAAAACCCCGACGTCGCCTGCCCAAACACGACCCCGAGCGTCATCGCCAACCCTGTCACCGCGCTCATCTTCGTCCGCTCCGTCGAATCGAACAAATCGCTCGACAGCGAGTACGTCAGAGGTGCCGCGCCGCCAACCGCGATACCAGTCAAGGCTCGGAGCCAATAGAGCTCCCGAAATGTCGTCACCCATATCGCAAGCGCGTTCGGGCACGACCCCAGCAACATTGTCCAAGCGAATAATCGCGTCCTCGAGTAGTAATCCGCCAGCGATCCGATCAACACTGATGCGGGCGCGCCGAGCAGAAAAAACGCAAAAGCTATCTGTCCGCCGAGCTTGTAGTCCCTCTCCTTTTCATCCAATCCCAGGTCATTCGCGATCGCCGTGAGATTGGGCGCCAAGAGATTTTGATCAGCGAACACCAGAGCTAACCCGAGGCACATGACGGCGAACGTCACGTGCATCGTGCGGTTTCTTCTCGGGTTGGTCCAGAAATCAAAACTCTGAGCCGACGACGACCTTTTGATTTGCGTTCGTCTACTGCGCATATACGTTCGCGAGCTCGAACGCACCAACTCGAGAGTTTCCACCGAGTAAGCCCGTTATCCGCGCGAGAACGCCGTGCGCGTCGACGTGTGCGGACGTTTTTTAAAAAAATATTTCTGTTTTCTGTTACAAACAGCGCGAGCGTCCGACGTAAATCATCAATCGACATGCACCACCGACGCGATGACGAGCGAATCCGTGAATCAATTCACATCGCTCGCTTGACGTTATCCCTGAAGCTCTGACTCACGATCGCGAGCACGGGCCATAAGCCGCACATCACGAGCGGGTTGACGCTGTTCCCAAAAGTTGTCTTGGAATAGCCCAAGAACAGTTTCACGGCCACAAAGACGTAGATGATGGCCATGACGGGCGAACTAAAGGCCCACCCGACGAGCGGGAGGGACTGGAGCACCGGAACACCTCGAGTTCGGCAGCCGTGGCGTTGATGATGATTTTGATGATGACGCCCCAGCCGCGTCCTGGACGGGCGCTCGGCGTCGACGAGCGCGACGCGTGGGACGGTGCGCGAGCGCAGTGCGACGGCGGACGTCGACGGGCGCGACGTACGGGCGCGTGGGTGCGGAACAGGGGCGAGCGCGCGAACGGTGAGCATGGCGGCGACGAGTGACGATGGGGTGGGAGTGGCAGCGGATATTATAACAAACGCTTATTACAAGGAACGTCTTGGTCCTCGCGCTCGCTCTCGAGGTGCGCGCGAGAGCGAGCGCGAAGGGGTGGGTTTCTATTGTGATTTCGAATGCGGATGGACGTCGCTCGCGCTCATCACTCCTCGAACTTGCACTCCGCAGCTATGCGCTGATGCGCCGCCTGGGCGATGAAAAAGGCAAGGCACCACAGAGTGATCTCGCGACCGGCGTTCATGACCAGATTCACGAGTCCAGGGCCTGGGCAGATACCTGCTAAGCCCCAACCTGCGCCGAACATGGCAGATCCGATGATGAGTTCTTTGTCGATGTACTTGGCCTGCGTCGTGAATTCGCGCGCCATGGACGGACGGAGAATACCGAACACTTTCTTAGCGGCGTACGTGGACGCGATGACGACCGTGAGGGCCCCACCCATGACGAACGCGAGCGAAGGGTCGAACGCCTTGGACGTGAACGCCAAGAACCCGGCAACCTTGGCCGGGTTGGTCATTCCTGAGACGACGAGACCGAGTCCAAAGAAGAAACCGACGAAACCTTCACTCGCAAGTTCAAGCTTCTTCACCACGTCGGTGATCCCTCCGCCTTCGCGCTTGGCGAGTGCGTAAAGCGCGGCTTGGATCGCAACGCCCGCGGCGACGATTTTCCCATAGAGAATCATCTTTGCCTCGGGCGCTCTTGCGAGCATGTTGAGCGTCCGAGTCGCCTCCGACACGTGCAGCTCACCAACCGTACCGAACGCCGCCACCGTCGCCGCGCCGCACGCCATAAATACGCAAGTCGCCACGATCGACCGCGTGCTCAATCGTCCGATCCCGCTCACGCCGTGTCCGCTCGTGCAACCACATCCGATCGACGAACCGGCGCCCACAAGCGCTCCGGCGACGATTGCGCGCGTTCCCTCAACCATCGGCACCGCAGCCTGTGCCCCGAGCACCATCGGCGCCGCGTACCCGGCCGCTAATAACCCGAGCAAGAAGCTCAAAGTCGTCGCCGGCGCGGAGATTCCTCGCATCAACGCCTTAGTCTCGCTGCTCACGCCGAGATTCTTCCCAGAGTTCAATCGCTTCGCCACCGTCATGGCGCCGATCAGGACACCGCCCGCGAGCGCGGCGTCGGGGGTGAACAATAAGTTCACCATCGGCCCATGATGGTTAACGATGACCGCCTCGCGAAGCGGTTTACGGGCGATCGTGGACCGAGTGATATTCTTCTTAGAATTCACATTGGCGACGCGTTTCGTCGCGTGCACCGTCGGCTTGGACGCGCGAACGAGCATCGTACGCGTGAATGAAGGCTTTGCGAACGCAAATGCGAGAGGACGCGCGCGATGAAGCTGCGCACCGTGGACTGCGGGGGGTTGATTTTCATTTTTTTTCTGAATTGACTGACCCCTCAAGGTTGTTCAACGAGTCAGCGTGCTCGGCGAGTCTGATGGAACTCTCGAGATTTGTTCAATGACTCGATCAGTGCGATAGATTACAGGCGAGATCAAAGTGCGCGTGCAGTGACTAGACGCGAGCGATGAGGACATTTCGCAAGTCGCGCAAGGCGGCGTCGAGGGCATCGAACGCCGGGCGGTTGCGTATGGCGACTGGACGGAGTGAGTCAGAGACGCGACGGAGGCAGGCGTCGAGGACGCTGGCGCTCGCGCCGTGGTCGGCGCACGCCTTGATCGTGAGCGTGGCCTGGACGATGGCGGTGACAAGTTGGGTGACCTTGACCTTCTCGGGATCGGCGTCGACCGCGGCGGAGGCAGAGGCGAGCTCTTCCTTGGATACCACAGAGTCGCCGCTGAGGGGTTCCTGCAGACTCGGATTGATCGTCGCCGAGCTCTCGGTGCCAGCGCCGGTCGTAGTCCGGGGAGACGATGGGCGCCTCGCTAAAGATCTGGCGTTTGCGCTCACGGATGAACTCTGTGGATTAGAAATCACGCTCGATCGCGCCTGGTTCGTGCGAGAACACCATAAATTAGCGCTAGCTCTGCGAGGCGCGGTCGATAAGGTAGATATGCCTTTCGAGTGCCACTCGCACTAGATAAATTATAGCTGGAATCCAACATGAGGATTTACAAATTCGTCTAAAAACTACGGCGAGACGCACTCACGCCCCGGTGATCATGAGAGCCATGCCCTGCAACTGCCTCAGCGACTCATGAAGGCGAAGTTGTGTCTTAACCTTTTCCTGAATGCGTCGAAGGCTGTTATCAACCGTTGCGCTTGCGCCGACGTCGCTGCCGTAAATATCAATGATTCGGTTGGCGATGTTCACCATCTGCGCGGTGTGACGAGGCTTGGCGATATTCTTCTCGATGTACTCTAGAATTGGGAGCAGTGATTCGTCGTCGCGGTTCGCTAGCGCCTTTTGTAGACCGCCGCGTCTACCTACTTCTTCGATGACGGCGGCGATGACCTCTGAGCGTCTCATGTGCAGCGCCGCGTCCAGGGCGTCTCCGTATCTGAACTGTTTAAGCATTCGATCGTGCGCGGCCAGATGAATACGGCGCTGTCGAAGCACACGCGTCGCATTTGCCGCGGTCTTGGAGTTCTGTCCACGAATGAAGTATCGCCAGTGCCCGGCGTCTAGTCGCCTCGGCTTCTTGACTGTGTATCCCTTCTTCTTGCTCCGAACGCCTTGGTAACCGGAAGATTCATCCTTATTGCGCGGCGTCTTTCGACGTCGCACGCTTAAAACTTTGTTCGCCAACCCCGTCGCGAGGCAGTTCGCGTCCGGTGAGAGCGAACACGAGAGCACCGGTCCCGGGTACTTTATCGAGTGCGTCACCGTGAAGGTGTCGAGCTCGTGAATCTTCACGAAACCATCTAGAGAGCCGGTGATCATGCGCGGAGCCTTTGCATCGATGGCGCTGTTACCGGTCATCTCAAAACCAGACGCAAATGACGGCGGACCCGCGTCGTCGTGCACGTGCACGGTGGTGATGGTTTTCTGGTGACTTCGCAGTCGTTGGAGGAGTCGTCCACCACCGAGGACGTCCCAGACGCACACGTCCTCGCCACCCACGGACACGAGCAAGTTCCCGTTCGGATACCACGCGATGTCTTCTACCGGAACCTTGTGATCGAACGTCATCACCGCTTCTCGTCCCGCTCGAGCGTCCCAGAGCTTTACAGCGTGATCGTACGACCCGCTCGCCCAAATTTCCCCAGACGCCGGACTCCGCTCCAACGCTCGCACGTAATCCTTGTGCCCGTCGTGCCTTCGAACGCAGTTCCCGGTAGAAATATCCCATAATCGCACCGTCGCGTCGTCGCTCGCCGAGGCGAGATGGAGCTTATCTCCGCTCCATCGCACCGCTCGAACGGCGGCGACGTGCGCCGAAAACTTCCGCAGCACCGCCCGCGAGCCGCAATCGAACAACTGCACCACCCCTTGCTGCCCACCCACCGCGAGCGCTCGACCATCATCTCGCAACACCCCACTGTACGCCACGTCCTTAAACCTCGCGAACGTTCGCAATTTCCTCGCTCCGCTCGGCGCGTGCAGCGTCACCCGCGCTCCGCTCGTCGTCGCCAGCGTCGCTCTTCCACTCTCCATTCCACCGTACGACACGCTCGTCACCGCGTTCACCTGTTCACTCAACGTCGTGCTCGCGAAATTCCTCCAGTATCGCCACTCCGCCGTCTCCCGTCGCTCGAGCGCCGGGTATTTTTTCGTCGGCAGCTTTCGGTACTCCCCCAATCCTTGATGGAGAAAACCTCCGGCGTCACCGCGCGCGCCGTGATCTCGGACGTCCATCGGCGTCGACGCCTCGCGCGGACGACGTCACGGTGCTGCCGTCCCGCGGCGTCGCCCGGCGTCGAGGCGCGGTGCGGTGTGTCGCGCGCGTCGATCGGCGGGTCGGCGGCGGCGGCGCGCCGTTCGCACTGTTCGCCCACACGATGTGTACACATCATACTGTTCGCCCACACGATGTACACATCACACCGTCGCCCCACGACGCGATCGCCCCGCACGTCCATGCGCGCGTCGACCGCGATCGGGGCCCGTTTACGCGCCCGCGTCACCCTCGCGCGCGCCCGCGTTCTCACTCGCGTGGACGTCCGCATGTCCGCCGCGACGTCGAGCGCGTCGACGGTGACGAAAGATTTCTTCCTCGATGATTTCGCGTCGAGGCAATGGGACGACGACGGGTACAGTGGGACGCGCATCGCGTGCGATAAAGGGGCGTTCGTGCGCGCGGTGCAGGAGATTGTCGACGCGCGAGGGTCGGGGGCGCTCGTGGAGGGGTACGCGCCGTTTTGTAAACACGTCTTCGTGCCGAATTTCGTCGACGCGAAGGTTGGCAACGTGGAGATCACGCGGGAGAATGAAAAGTTGCTTCGATCGGGGTACGGCGCGCGATCGAGCGCGGAGTTGGCGGTGTTGACGAGGTGGTTCTCGGCGTCGGACGTGGAGGCGCCGAGGGCGACGCACTTGGATGTTATATTGTACTCGAGGGAACAGTTGGAGCTCGAGCGGGCGGCGGTTCCGAGCAAAGGCGAACGCGCGCCTCTGCCGAACGCGCCGTGGGGAATCATCAGCATCAAGGCGCAGAACGAGGATTACGAGACGCCGATGCAACCGATCACGATGATGCGGAACGCGCTCGGGCGCGAACACGGCGGCTCGGGGGTTCCGTTGGAGAAGGACAAGTACGACGCGAGCGTGGCGTATTGGTCTCGACACGCCCCGATCGTCGCGAGCGAGGACGGCGCCAACGGCGACTGAGCGCGCATCGCGTGTAACATCAAACAACGAAGAGAGTCAAGCAAACAAATCACGCGCGATGACGCGTTCACCGAAGCGATATCGATCGATGACAAAACGAAAATCTACGTCGGCGTCGTCGCTCTACGCCAACAGTTCCAGCACGGCGTCTCGTTTCCCCGGGTTCGCCTTCCCAGCCAAATCCTTCGCGCTCTTCCCATCCAAATCTACCACCGTCTTATCCGCGCCCGCCTTCAAGATCTCTTCAATCTTCGGCGTGTCCCCCTCCGCGCTGGCGAAGAGCAGGATGATATCGATCGGGTGCTTCCCGCTCTCGATCAGCGCGTTCATTCGATCGTACGTCCCCTCCACCGCGAGGCATCCCATGTAATTAAAGTAATGTTCCACGTCGTCTCGGTCGTAATCGTCTCGTCCCTGCGCGCCGACGATGCCCGCGGATTCGGCGTCGGGGCGAAATCGCGAGAAGAAGGCGAAGCATCGCGCGCCGTTCGTCACGCGAGAGATCTTCACCGCGTCGCGGCGTTTCGCGGCGACGCCGACGAAGGACGATCGCAACGTGACGCGAGAGACGGTGGAGAACGACATGGGCGGCGGTGACAGGGCGCGGGCGTGCGCGAGTGCGAACAACGGGTGGACGTTCAGACGTTATCCAGAGGTGGGCACAACCCTGAGGAGAGATTATCCGTCGAACGCGACGGGCGAGAATGAGGCGACGAGCGAGACGTTTCGATCGTGGAGATGGTTCAGATGAGAGATTCGAGGGCGACGGCGTCGAGCTTGGGGATGGCGTGGTAGGTCCCGCCGAGGGCGTCGGCGAGGGAGGCGCAGAAGCGGTCGCCGATGAAGTCGGAGTCGGTGTCGACGACGAGCGATTTCACGCCGAGTCGGCGAACGGCGCGGGCGACTTCGAGGCATTCGTCGCGCAAATTCTGACGCGTCGGTGCCCCGGGTCCGAGCTCGCGTTGACGCGATGCTGAGTTTCCTTGCGACCACGTGAGAGAGCGCGTGGGGCGGCCGTCGGTGAGTAAGACTTGACGCACCGAACCCACCGTGGATTTTCCGCGCCGGCGAGAGTTCACGGCGACTCGCGCGGCGACGGTGAGACCGTGCGCGAGTGGGGTGCCGCCACCGCACGGCATCACGGCGAGTCGTCTCGTGACGAAGATCGTCGAGCGCGTCGGTGGAAGCGCGACGAAGGCCGCGTCACCAGACATTTGGACCAACGCGACGAGGTCTCGCTTCGTGTAAGACAGCGCCAACAACCTAAAAACCGCCGCTTTAGCGACCGCCATCCTATTCATCGCCATCGAACCACTCGCGTCGACGACGAACACGGTCAATGATGCGCTCTTTCGCGAAAGCTTTTTCAGTCGTACGTCGTCCTTCGTGATGAAGATTCGTCGCGAGTCGTGCTCGGCTCGGCGCTCGCGGCGGAAGATTTGGTACGGCGCCGCCGCTCGGAGCGTCGCGTCGATCGCAATCTTTCCACGTATCTGACCCGATTTTGGGAACATCGGTTTCACGTAGCGTCCTCTCGTGATGTTGAAAACGTTCTCACCTTTCGTCCGTCCGCTCACGGTGCCTCGCGTCTTCTTCTCGGCAAAACTTCGATGCATGGCCCTCTCGAAACTGTCGATGAGAGACGAAACGTCGAGCTTGCTTTCATCGGGTTCCTGCACTTGAGGCTCCAGCTCGGAGTTTCCCACGTCTACATCATCCGTGTCGTCTTCGGCCTCATCCTTCTCCTCGTCTTCTCCTCGATCCGCAGGGGCTTGTCGAGCTCCCTGCGGCGGCGGCGGCGTCAGCGCGTCCTCGGGTGGATCCCTCGTCGCTCTCGGTAAAATCACGAGCGACACTGCGACGTTCACGTCCCCGTCGTTCACGATGAGCGAATGTCGGAGGGCGGCGGACGCTCTCGCGACTTTTGCCGCGAAAATATCGCCTCTGTGTCCTTGAACGCCTGCTTCGACTGCGATCTTCACCATGCGACACACCTGATTCTCGGGAAGCGTCACCTCGTGTAATAAAGCGCGACTGATCTCCAAATGCGCCCGGAGTTCGCTCTGCTCGTGCTCGTGCTCGCGCACGACACACCGCCAATCGTCTTGCCAAAGCATCGCGACGTCCAACGCCTCGATTCGAGTTTTCATATCCATCGCTGAATCGTCCGTAGAGCATATCATCGCGAACCGATCGACGACGTGCGCTCGCAACTCAGCCTCCTCGGGATTGAAGCTCGCGAGAGCCAAGCACTGGCACGGCGCCGTCACGCTGAGCCCTTCACGTTCGGTACGAACGATACCAGCCGCGATATTTGACTGTATCATCGCCAACAACGCGTCGTCGAGCAAATTAATCTCATCGACGTACAGCGCGCCGCCGTGCGCGTTCGCGAGTAATCCGCGTTGTAAAACCGTCGCCCCGCTTCGCACGCTCCGCTCGACGTCCACCGTCCCGATCACTCGATCCTCAGTCACTCCCAACGGGATGGAAACGAACGGCGCGTCGCTTCGCATGAGATCTCGAACGCTTTTGCACAAGATTGATTTCCCACTGCCTCTTCGCCCAGTGCAAATGATGGAGAGCGAGTCATCGATGCATCCGAGCAGCAGCGCCGTTTTCACCGCGGCGTGATCACAAATCGCGGTGAACGGGAGCGTCGGTGGATCGACGACGCGCGCGCGCGCGCGAACGCGCGCGCGAGGGAGCGACGAGGGCGCGCGCGCGAGCATGTGTCGTCTCGTTCGTCTCGGATGAAAAATGTCGATTCCTATTCCCGACGTTCAAACTATTCGCTATCTAACGCTCGAGTGACGCCTTCGGGACGGGTATGCGTTTGTCGTCGGTCCGCGCGGTCTTCTTCCCGCCGGGTGCGACGGGGGCGGCGGCGGTGCCGTTCGCCTGTGAAGATTTCTTTGATTTCTGTTTGTTTCTCCGTTTCGGCGCCGCGTCCAGAAGTTGCTTGTCGCTCTTGTTTTCCCCAGCGTCCGCGTCGCCCCTTTGCTTGGTCTTCTTCGTCTTCGACGCGCCCTTCCCGCCGTTCGCCGCTCGCTTACTCGCGCGCTCCTCCGCCGCCCGCTTCTTCCAAATGTACTCCAAGAGGGCGGTGGATTTCCGTCGCGCAGACTCTTGCTTGGGCGCCACCGCCCCCGTGGTGCGCGTCCGCGTCCGCTCGCTCTCGAGCTCGCTCACAAACTTCAAATACTCCGCATCGCTCTCGATCGTTCCCTCCAACGCGTTCACCGCGTTCGTCTCGCCGCTCGTCGACGCGTACCGTTCCCCGAACGTCCTCGGCGTCCACTGACTCGGCGCCCGCTCCACCGTCGCCCGCGTCTCCTCCACGCCATCCTCCCCCTCGATCACCCGTCCCTCCGAATCACGCGCGCGCACGCGAAACGTCGCCCCGTGGTACCGATCTCTCACCCGCTTCGCGATCTCCGTCGTCTTACACGCGACGTACGCGATCGACCGCGCGCGCATCCTTCGCGCCGTCCCACGCCCATCCACCCCCCCACGCCCTACCGTGCGATACCCCACCCAGTCAAAGAACGCGCTCGGTGGGTCGAATCCATCGCGCGCGAGCGTGCGTTCGAACGCCTCGCGCGCGAGACGGCTCGGGAGTGGACGGATGACGATCTTCGTCCATCCCGCCGCGATCGCGTCGTCGAGCGCGGACGCGCGCGGGGTCGCCGACCGCGCGCGGCGTCCTCGGCCGCGTCCGCGTCCGCGCCCGGCGCGCGCGGCGTCGCGGGCGTCCATCGCGGGCGTCGCGTCGTGCGGGCGCCGTGATGGGCGCGGTGGTGTCTTACATAGTACTATATGTAAGCTTAAGGTCCTGTGGTGATCGCGTCGTAGCGCGTTCTGTGCGTAAAGATCTGATGATGATTAAAAATAGCGAGCCTGTTGACTCTAACTAGAGTCTACACGTCATGAGTCATAACTCATCACTTATTCAAGACTCGGGAAGGCTATACAATCATATTTAGCCCGCAACAATCCTAACACACCCCCTTAGCCTTCACTAGTCTTTAACCGCTAGTGCTGTTGCTTCTGAAAGGTTGGATTTCATTTTGTTCGACCGATTTAAGGTAGTGTTCATACGTGTTCAACTTATCTCCGCGAACCATACCTTCTTTCATTCTCGCGT